AACGTCCGTAGTTTTGACATTACTGAATTGTGACTATGTGTCACTGTATGCTTTTGGTTTCATTTACCAGAACATGTATTACCACAAAATCATCAGTGGATGCAGTAAAAGCAGAAGATTGGTGATGGTGACAGTGAGCTCCATAAATGGAAAGCTACAGATGACAGCTGAGTGAGCAAAATCAAATGCTGACTGGCTTATAATGGTGTAGATATGCAAGGTTTGGTTTTTACACAATGAAATGAGCCACTGTAAAGAACCTACTACTGCCAGAAAAGAGATATGAAAACCTCTCTCAAACTTCCTTTTAGTGTATATACTTAAAATATAACCAGTGACTTCTGGTACTTATCTTTGTGCAAAATTGATTGAAGCCTCTACATGAGACGTACAGAAGTCATGGCTCATCACAAAAGCCACCCAGTATCTGCTCTTTTTATCTGAGTGCGCACAAAGAGCCCTCTACCACTAAAGTAAATGTAACATAAGCTTAGGAGCACACTTCCCTTCTTAACTTCTGCTTCCCACGGTTTTTATCAGGTAGTCACTGCTGCCTACAATGATAATTGTCATTGTGTACTTCTGTAAACTGATGCTCAAAGTCAAATGAAATACAGCATTAGAATATTAGTAGCCTGTAGTATCAGTAGCATGGACTGCATGAACATTAACACATGTGAGTAGACAGTATTCGAAGTACAAAAATGACAATTTGACGCTTTGCAGTGGTTTATGTGCCAGACTATTTCTTGGCTCTGTGCAGTTGCCAAGCAACCGGCGGCAATTCAAGGAAGTTACTATGGCTGACAAAGATATAACCCCCAGTAAAACAGGAAATTGTCATTTTTAGATGATGATTTTTTGTACAGATTAAACAAACGAGATATAACATGTTAATTAGTGAGCTTTATACGTGCTGGTAAGTTGATTGTGTTACTTCAGGCTAGCTGTTTCCCCATTATTTCAGTCTTTTTGCTAAGCTAAGCTAAGCTAAGCAGCTGCTGGCTGCAGCCGTATCCGACTGACAGATATGAAAGTGGTATCAATCTTATCATCTGACTCTGAAAGCGAGTGAGCCTATTTCCAAAAATGTCAAACTGGTCCTTGAAATGAAGATCGATCAATGAATCAGTGGGTCAGCAGAAACACTGAACTTGTCACCATATTCAAGGTGCCTGCACCTGTGGTAGTTTTCTCGTCTTAATCTTGTCTTAATGTTTGTAAGTTTTTTGACTTTTGGTTTAAAAGATAAAACATGAGAACGTGTATACACAATACAAAATGATACAATTATATACAATTAAAATTCAAATAACATTAATGGAATATAATGAGTTCTTAACAGTGTGGGTCTCTGCCGATGCACACGTGTGTGAATGTCAGTGGAAGTGACAGACCACGTTTGGAGTATCCGCTTGAGCGACTGCGCGCATGCATGTGACGCCACGCAACCCAGCCATAATCGCTGACCTCACCGCCAGCCAATGTGCCCTCCCTGAGCCAAACAGAATAGGGCTTAATCCCACCTACGCACACGCACACATAAACACACATCGTAAGTACAAGTGATACTTCAAAGTTCCCCAGACAGTAAACCACCAAAGCCGATATGCTGTACGTTCAGTGGTCACCTAACTCGTACAGTATGTGTGGATTTAACTTCCAGCTGTAAAAAGTGCCAAAGAGCAAAGCAACCTCCAGCTGCCGTAGTACTGCTGGGAGCAGGATTACGTGTAGGCTAAGCAGTGCTGACGTACTGACGTTTGTGTGTACAACATAACCTATGAGGCCATTACTGTAATAAAATATGTTTTTTATTATGGATGTGTTTTCGTTGCTACAAATTAGGATTATTTTTACCATCATTTCAATCATTTATGATAACATTGTACTAAAGAAATTGCTGAGATCTGGTATAGGGATGGGTATCATTTAAAGATTTTTGATCCTGGTACTGGTACAGATACCCTGACCAGTTCTTGAACGATGCTTTTTCAAAACCAATTTTTTAAAATTTATATATATATATATATATATATGTTCAGTGTTGTACAATATAAAAAATATAAATAACTGTCAAAACTAACAACAACAATAACAAACAGTAATGGCAATATGCCATTGTAGCGTCTAGGCTGCCAAATCTAAAGAAGAAGAAGAAGGCAACGACTGTGGCCGGATGACATTTGTGGTTCTCTCACCCAGGTCTGATAGCTTCAGGTGTATTTCTCTCTGTTTAGTGTCGGCCTGCAAGCAACAGCATGTTTGCCCTCAAAAATACTCTGCCTTGGCTCTAGGTCATCCATCCCTGTGGCGGGGAGGAGAGGAATGCGTGGGGGCTTCCATCCCGGTAGACAAGATAAGCATCTTACAGTTAAAGAAATAATAAAAATAGCCTCTACCTACTCTTGTTGATGTTCAAATGTTTTTAATAAAGAAGTGTATGTTGAAGTTTTTAGTGTTTTACCATGGTATCAAATTGGGTATCGAGAATTGCAGAATTTCACTGGTATTGGTACTGACTACTGAATTTCTGGTATCGTGACATCCCGACTTTACATGGATGGTTTGGGTTATAACTGCACCGTTCGCCTTTGTTCTCCACTCCAAATCCATCTGGCTAGCCTGGGGGTTCGTCTGAAATCTGTCAGATCATCTGGCTGCTCATCTTTCTCTCCTCATCTGACTTCTTCTCAGCCATGTTGCTGCATTCCCAGATCTCAGTAATTAACTTGGTGAGTACAACGTCATCATGACCTAAAGAAACAATGGCCTAAACTATGAAAATACGACCTAAGTTGTACTAAACCAGAAATAATCTTTACCACAATGGTGCCTGTGCCAGCATCTCCTGGCCTTTCAGTGCTATAGGCATGGTGGGTGGTTGAGGCAGGGAGAACATGCTTCTTGCACACTGGCAGCACCAGTATATTTCAGCTCTGATTAAGGGCACTGCGCAGTGAAGGAGAGACTAATGTGTGTGTATTTATTTCACAATGTGAAACTGTATACAGACAGGCCTTGCAGTGTGAGAACTGTTGAGTAGGTGAGAAAAAAATGTTTGTGCTTTAAGTGAGAAAAGAGCAGTCATCTGTGTGTGTGTGTGTGTGTGTGTGTGTGTGTGTGTGTGTGTGTGGTGGGGTTGTGGTCACAATTATCACACAAACGCACACACACAGAGAGAACACGGTCTCTCTGCCAGACAGCCTATGGGATGAAGAGTTTCACCCCTGCTGTTGCCGGGTTACTAGCTCCGGACCACTGCCAACACAGCCCTCCACACAATACACGCACTCTCACACACACACGCACACACACACTAGATCAAATTGCCTGGTGAGAAGGGTTTTTAAGATCTTTCCTCAAATCAATCTTTTGTTTACCGAGAAGGGAGAGAGGGTGAGGAAGAAGGGAGAAAACAACATAAAAAGGATTGACATGGTTGGGGGAGAGACAGAGAGACAGAGTGGGAGACAGAGCAATTCCGCCTGCATCCCCTGGGAAGAGCAGCCCTATCAGTCCAGAACTGGCCCTGATCTGCACTTCATATCATCGCTGAACCTTTGGTGGCCTGGTCTGACGCTTACTTGGACGAACGTGCAAGCACACACAGAGTCTGCAACGTGTTCACGCACCGAGGCGACGAGAGATACAGTGAAGCACCAGTGCAATGCATGTGCAAACACATGTGACAACCAAAACAATCAACAGACACAAATGCTTGGATTCAGCTACATGGCAGACGGAATGCCATGACACACACAGTGTAACAGACTGACTGATGGCAATGACAACAAATCTGCCACAAACACTGAAGCACAGGTGGTGGTATTTCAGCATGTGTTAAACTGCTGCATGTGAAAACACACACACACACACACACACACACACACACACACACACACACACACACACACACACACAATTCTAAACTGACTACACCGACTTAAAGGACAAATCCAGGGTATTACATCTTGGGTTTTCGTAGTTTTCTTTTTGAACAGTTATAATAACACTGTACTCAGCAAAGTAATGGGAGACCTAGAAACACATCACGACAACAAGCTGCCTTTGTGCAATACAACTGTGCTGTAACGTTAGCTTGTCACTCGAGTGAGGCAGCGGAGGCCTGATTTGACTGTTTACATGCGTGCTGAAAAAGCCGGCAGGACAGGAAAAATGAGTGGGCAGGGTGGTAAACACACACTGCAGGGAGCTAGAATGGCTGGCGGTCTAACAACAGCAGTCCACAAGAAGAGAATTACACAGTATTTCATCAAATGCTTCTCTCATTATCATCTATTGGTGACCTTTTATTTTAGGGACAAGCTACATGTTGTTTTGTGTTATTATCAAGTTTTATTTCTCTAGGTTTGTATGTTTCTTTTCCAACTACCTGAATTTGGAATTTGCCACTTGGGAATTTTTCTTATTTTGCAGTGAACCGGTCAGTCTTGTGTGTTTCTCACTCTGTTAAATGTCCTTTCAGCAATGTTGTCATGTTCCTAGATTTCAGCCATTAACCACATGAGTACAGATTTGAATCATTCAAACCATGGCCAAAGCTTTCAATATGAAGACCCAAGTGGTTGGAAATCAGAACTGTACTTTATCTCATTCTACGAGCTGCTGTAAGAGTCGAGGATATTTTAGGCTGAAGGTCAAGCCGGTGCACACACAAACATTTGCGAGAGACCAACAGTAACCATAACAAACCAAAAATGGTCGCAAACAACTGCCAAAGCCCACTGAAACTCAATGTACAACTTAAACCGCAGCAGCACAGCTCTTGCCAAGTGGCCTCCAGCTTTTCAGGAATCTCCGCTGACAGGGACAGGACAGAGCGCCTGGATCGCTGCTCTTAAGGAAATAAACGGACAAACCTGCAGCTTCACTGACTTCACTGAGCAGCCTACTGTTGTCAGCTTTCAGTTTGCATAAATTCATGTGGCTCCTTGACAGTAACACTGACCTACACAATGGACAGTGGCTGCACTTACCTCTGGCTGAGAGCTTTTTCGTGTTAATAATTTTAGCAGCATACTCCTGGCCGGTGGACTTCTTGACGCATCGGCGAACGACTGAGAAGGCACCCCTGGAGCAGAAGAAATCGATAACCCAGATGTCAGATCAGTGAAACCACTTCAAACATAACAAAACTCTCTGTGTGTCACATGGGGGAGAAAGTGCATGGCTGTTTGCTGAACTTGTCACACACACAAGGGCATGCATTCATCACATGGAGAGGGGAAAGAAAGTCACATACATAAATAACACAGTCTATGCATGAGATGTGAGAAGGGGGTCCTGGTCGCTAGTGCTTGACTAGGAGAGGGCTTGTCACTAGCTCACATAGAGAAACGTGAGCAGGGGCTGGAGGAGAATGAAGCCACTGAAAGGTAGACTTAACAGTGTTCTCAGGCTGATTTTTTTTTGTTTTTGTTTTCTTTGCACAGACGCTTCCTTTAAACTCCTGCTCATTGATAGGTGGAGCAGCTCTATTAGCCACACGCAGAGATTAGATGTTACAAAGTGGCTTTGTAGCCAGGATATACACTGTAACCTGCGTGTCCTCTCGTGTTTTTAATCCTGAATGCAGTAGTAGGGAGGGAAGCGCATAGCCACAACGTGCAAAGCCACAGTCTTGTTTGCAGCAAAGCCTTGTCTTCTTCTTTTTTTCTTTCTTTTTTTTCCTGTGGCTTGACACATACAGTAGCCCTGCAGTCTGCTCACAAATGCACAAAAACAGAGCTGCATGACTGAACAGGGGCTCGAGGATGCCACCGGTTCAACGGGGTCCGTGCGAGCGACCTCTCGACGCGGGCTACCTGCACATGAATTGACAAACAAGTTGGTCCTATGAGCGGACGTTTCACACCTTTTCGGTTACAAATAGAGCCACAGCGGTGCCCGAACACCTTTGAATACGCATTCGGGATTAAACTCGAGCCTCCTGTAGCGCGAACATGAGCCCGCTTACAGTTTATTGTTGCTTAGGTGCTTCTCCTACCCTTCCCTGATTTTTGACAGCCCCTCTCCTGCCTTGTCAACACTGAAGTAAACGCGCACAATGGCAGCAGCAGCAGCAGCAGAGAGGAGAAAAGCGTGCAAACACACACACACACACACACACACACACACACACACACACACACACACACACACACACACACACACAGAGAGAGACTGAATGCAACAAGAGCAGCAGCTGAGGTGCTGACGGTCGCTTACTTTCCGAGTTCCTCGTACAGCTGATATTCGTCTGTGAATCTGGTCGAGGTTACAACTGTAGCCATGTTGACTGAAGTGAAGGGGAGAGGGGGGGAAATCGCCTCGCGCTTCAGTGGCCGCCTCGCGCAGGTTTCGGGAGGAGGAGAACTCGTGAAGGCAGAGAGAGGGGGAAGAGAGGCTCGAGCTCAGAGAGAGGAGCAGGGAGTGGGAGGGGGGAGGAGAGAGGGGAGCCTAGCTGTAGTAACAAAGATCCTCTTTTAAGATAATGAGTCACTCTGTGTGTGCGAGTGGGTTTTTTTTTAATAAAACGGAATTGAAATGAAAACTGGTTTGCAACACGCAATGCCTGACCTGGACCGGATGTAATATTTTGTAGTTATGACATTTTCTATTTCATCTTCCATGTTTCTAATGTATTCTACTTACGAGTCAGAAGCAGCTTCATTAGCAAAGTATGAACACATACAAGGAATTTGACTCTGGCTTTAAGTTGCTCTCATTGTTATACACAATTTAAAGGAAGATAGAAATAGGATAAACATACTATTATGTACATACAGTTATATATATATAATTATATAACGCAACAATGGTCTACAACAAACAAGGTTTAGTGTCTGTTCCTTTGTACACATCTTGAACTTGGTGAAATTATGTAGCAGTGTGTGCAGAGAGTGTATTTGCTTTGTAAAAAGGAAGTTGAAGTGTTGGTCATGACAAAAGAAAAAATTCAGTCAGTCTGGGTCCTCAACTATAAACAACACTAATTGATAACTAAGTAGCACAAAACACAAAGTCCAACTGAGGCTCATGAGAATGTCATTAGTTTTGTAGTTATTTTGTCATAAATTGATAATAAAAATCTTGACATAATGGGGGTCTAGACGAAAAGTCAAGGGATCATCAAGGTTATAATATTTCATCCTATGCGGAACATGAATGTCTGAACCACATTTCATGACTATCCATTCAATCGTTGAGATATTTCAGTCTGGACCAAAGTGGGGACTGATGGACTGACAGAGAGGCTTACTAGTGAAAACACAGGTGTGGGAGAAATCTGTCTGCAGGGACTACAATGTGGTCTTCTTTTCTAAAAGATAAACTACAAATGACCTTATTGACAATAGTAATATTGACTATTTGCACTTGTGAGAATGATTCATTTTTATATTTTCTGAGGTGGATTTATATTTCTTTGTCCAGTGTTTATTCATACATGGGCCTCACCCTCGGCTCAGCAGCCAAGGAAAGTGTCGCTTCACACTGACGTTCATCAGTCTGTTAAAACTTGGATCTGTCTGATACAGACTGTTTGTAAAATGCACATTACGTTTTATGTGTAGTTATTCCCTCTCTGGGTGGGTGAGTGACCATGCAGGGTGAAATCACAAGCAATATCTCCTGCACACTGTTAGGTGACACTCATCTATGTCCCCCTGCTGGGTTGTGTTTGGATGTTTTCTCGAACCAGAAATAAGGTCAGAGTGAGACCTCTCACTGCTGTCTCTTCTCTGGCAGTAGTGGTAGAGGTGGGATGTAAGCCACGCGAGATCTTTTGCAGCTACAGATCCAGATTCAGTTTCCCCATCTCTCGCTTCCATCACGATTTATATGCACAAAGGTAAAGCTGACACCAGAACAGCTGATGGGAGCAGCATCCTTCGAAGACCAAGTCGTGTACTGAGATGTGATGCCGCAATATTTTAATATTGGCACAGAGCAATGAGCTGCATGCCCACTATGTTATGGTTTTCATTTCCTAAACTGGTCTCCCCCAAGAAAGAGGGAATCAGTCAGCACTCAAAATGTTGCACCAGGGGACGATAATGTTTAATACCCTATTCTGTTTCTCCTTACTATAAACCATTTTATAAATCATAACAACAGAAATCTTCTTATGTAACAGGCACCTGCAGTCAATACAAATCTTTATTTTTTTTTTTTTACAAACTCCTGCTATCAAAATAATCCTATATATTTCTTCTTACTTTTTTTTTCTTTAGCCTTGCATTTTTTAACAAACAAGCCTTTTCAGTATGAGCTTTGCCTATGTGCTACTGAATGTTTTGTTGGTAATGATATTGAAACAGAAAGATTGGAAATATATTCATTGAAATATTTCCTGAATTGTCTAAAGCTATTTAAGACTTCTGACACTTCTAAGGACGAAATCTTTCATTTTTTCCACATCTGAGAAGCACTTCAATGTCTCTTAGATTGATTTTAGGGCATAATTTGAGCTTAAAAATGATGAAATAACACAACAATATCCTGGCAGGCTCTTTTTTAAAATTAATTTTACTATTCATCTATAATGTCCAGTCTCTGTAATACCAGACTGTGTTAGTGTTACCCCTCAAGGCCACTTCCCTGTGACAGTGCATTTGCATAGGCTATCACCTTCACAGCTAAATGCACATGTCTGCCTCTGTCTTTTAACACTGCGTGTACCCATCTGCCTTCATAGTGCTGACAAAGCTTCTTCATTAATACCATGATCATCATCATTATCTCAGTGTTCACAGTGTTTCCACATTTTCTTAACCTTTTCACAATCATAACTCTCATTTTAATTTAATCATGATCGTTGCAGCACCCCCACCAAGGAATATTTATAAACACAATAGAGACAAAAATCAGTGTTCTGAATACCTCTTATCATCTAGACCAGCCAGTAAGGATCTGCTTCGATCCGACTCGTATGCAGTTTTAGGGATTTAAGCCGGAGCATCATTGTATAAGAGACAGGGAATTATACGTGTTATGTAATGGCCCGCTGCAGTGTAAAGGTTTATCTGAGCTTTCATGAATATCTCATGAAGGGTATTAATATATCCTCTTGGCACCATGTTTAAGTATGTATGTGTTTGTGGGTGATTACAGCTGCACACACTCCAGTAAGGTAATGTGACAAGCTAATGTTGGCAAGAAATAAAACCTAATTTTTTGAAACTCATATGTTTCTTCTCTGGTATGATAATGAAAAAGTGTTTGGTACAGTCCAGGTTCAAAGTCCATTCTTCACCTTACAGCAGTTGAGAGAACAATCAATTTAGTAGCTGTTCTGGAGCTTTTTGGTCATATTACATGATCTTCATCAGCAGATAGAGATTCACAGTTTTCATGGAATTAAAGATGTTAATATGTTCATTTCTTCTGAGCACTTAAAGCTGCTTAAAGCTGCTCTGATCCATATTTTTATATTAACAACAGGCTATATAAATGACTTTATAAAAGGTGTCACTGGTGACAAACCTGTAGATTATAATCATCAAATCTCACTTGTCTCATCAACTTCATTTCTGTTTGAAAAAAAGCTTGAAAATACCAAACTGTAGAATAAATTATCAACTAGCTGATGAACACATAAAGACTGTATTACATATTTTCACCCCTCAGTGGTATCTGCTGTTCTGCTTTTCTTTTCAGGCTGCATACAGCCCCAACAACTTTCACCGATAAGGTACAGTATCCTGTGCTATTCCTAACAATAGACCTTGCTGAATGGACCTTTGCTGTGTGTCATCCCCTCTTTCTCTGTCTATCTTTAGCTGTCCTGTCCAATAAAGGCAAAAAGCCCCAAAACAATATATATGCTACACACTATGTATTTGTACTTCTACGTAGATCCATTTTGAAAACAGCTGTTGTGTTCCGGCCATTTCTGCTTGCTTGTCTGTTCAAATATGTAACTGTGTCACCCTTTCTCAATAAATCACCATTAAAACCTTCCTTCTCTGCATTTTGGTTCTGTTTGCCATAGCCAGCATTACTAAAATATAAGCTAAAGACATGGATAATAGTATATTAAAAGGTCAACATGCATTTTCTTAATAACAGAAAAACACAAAAAGATTTGTTTTAAAAAATTTCAGAATATCATTTCATCCCAGAGCGATGCTTCTAGCTCTTTGCTAAATGAAATGGTACAATACTGAGCATGTTCAGTATGTTTAAATGCCAACACGTGTATCTCCTTTCTGTACGCCTTGCCTCTGAATTGTGGATGTATATCTGGAACAGTGTTTAGAGAGCATTGCTGGCGATTAATGAGTGTTTGCAGTGAGCACAGGAGCTGTGCGACCAGTTTCTGCCATAATTACAGGGAGCCGCTCTGATATGAAAGCCTAATTAGCGAGGGTGCAGAGGTACCGTCGTATTAATTGCTGAATTGCTGTGTTTCCTCAGTGATGTGCCTGTCAGGCGAGTGGGTGGTAACAGTGCTATAGACCAGCAGTTACCAACCTTTCAGGCTCATGACCCCTAAAAATGAAGCAGTGTTTACTTTCAAATTGTCATCTGTGTTATTGTCACGAGTTGCTCAGTGGTTGAAAGTAAGTACATTTACTTAAGTCCTTTTTCTTTTTAATTTTGTGTACTGTACTCGCGTTACTTTATAATTGTGCTGCACTACATTTTTAGAGGTAAATATTGTACTTTTTCTGTCTCTGGATTTATCTAACTGCTATAGATATTGGTTACTTTGATTTTACATATAAAACATACGATCAACCTGGGGCGCCCTTGTAGCTCACCTAGTTGAGCATCCACCCCATGTACAGACTGAGTGCTTACCTCCGGCAGCCCAGGTTTGATTGCAGCCCTTTGCTACCTGTCGTGCCCCCTCTTTCTCCCCACTTCCCTGTCAATATCAATTAAAGGCAATAAAAGTACCAAAAATAATCAAAAAAAACCCATATGATTATTATAAATTAAGGATCTTTCATGCCTACACGGGTGTTTTCAGTTATGTTATTGAAGTTGTTAATTGTCCCACAACAGAACAGGAGAGCCCCCTTAAGTAAAAAAAAACTTTCGCTCTCCTATTTTCTAAATGAAAACATGCTCGCAGTGATGATACTGTAACAGTAGTGTTGTGGAACCATAGTGGCCAAAGGGGACTGACTCATTCTGCAAGAATGTTTCAACTTGGCTCACGGCTTGTCTACATATCTTTGGAGAGTTTCTCCTCCCTTGTGCTGACCAGTGACATCATGAAACTTTTATGGTTTTGAGGTGTGTGTGTGTGCGTGTGTCTCAGGGAGTGACTACTGTCATTTCCTTGCACAACACCCAGCGGTCAGACCTTCTTATCGGCTGCTGAACTGGACTGACGCAGCTCACTGGGTGTCATTCAGTGAATCTTTTAACCTTAAAAATCTCCTTGGGAACAGTTTGTCATGTACAGTAGATTGAATATATTACCTTTCTTTGCTAATAACTAAATTGCACATTGTTCTAATAAGCATTTAATTGCACATCAGGGCTATTTCAGTGCTTAAAGGGCTGCAATTTACAATGCAAGAGACTGTAGTGAATGTGTCCCAATTGAGTCGTTGATACCACGCGGTCTCACTGAATGAGTGCAGAGAAAGGGCTGCATTTACTTTCAGTGTGGAACAATTAGCCATATCAGGAACACAATGTCCAAGTCATGCTTAAAACAGTATAAGCCTATTGTGTTTAACTTCACGACTTTGCCAAAGAATCTGAAGTTAGCCTTACCTTCAACTGATTATCTAACAGTGGATATGACAGCTCCCTCCCACGTACTGGATAGCACTGTGTATTCAAGTGTGTGTGTGTGTGTGTGTGTGTGTGTGTGTGTGTGTGTGTGTGTGTGTGTGTGTGTGTGTGTGACACCTCCTCCGTGATTTATATCATCTGACGGTGCCTTATTTCTGCGGGCCATTGGCGTATACTGGGAATCAGATGTGTGGGCATGTAACGATTGTCTTCACCAGTTTCTCACATGTATGGGACTCTGAAGGTCTCTGAGCCACATTCCTACTGTTAACCCAAAGCAGTCTCATCAAATCTCATCACTGGAGTCTAGTTTCCATGGTGTGAGGTTTTCTCTGTGTGTGTTTGTTGTATGCGCATAGAGGAGGTGAACAAAGTGCCTTCAGCTTCAGTGCTCCTTGGAGCGATATCAGACATGTCATGAACTCTGTGCAGATTCTTTTAGAATATAAAGCCTCTGGTTGCTTGATTTCTCATAAAGATGGAGGTCACAGAAATTGTTTGATTTTCTTCTGGTGTTTGTGAAACAGCTCTTGAATTGCTTTAGGGAAGAAGAAGTCTCTGACTGACAGCCCTAGGATCTATTGGCCGAAATGGAACATAATATGCATACGGTAACTATGTTTTCATTAGTGTATAATTACCTGAAATTGGGTGAAATGATGCCACTCAGTCCTACACACTGGACCTGGACTGTGCAACTGTACAGCTATTTAAAGCTCTGTGCGGACATCCGCGTACCTCTACTTTGTTGTAACTGCACAGACTGCCTGCAAGGTCACTATACTACATGGGCGCATGTGTTGAACGAGTCCTCCAAGCAGACTTCAGAAAGCAGTATAAACAGAACTACTATGTGTCCACAGCTGTGTACACATCCATTTGGGAATATATTTAGGCATTCAAGCACAGCAGTGCTGTAAGCTAAATGCTAACATTAGCATGGTAACATGCTCAGAATGACATGGCAAACATGTTGAGCAAGTATGTTTACCATGTTTATCATATTATTTAAAGGTCACTTGTCACTAGATGTCACACTAGAGCACCAGCACCTCCAGCAGACCAATACAATGGGCACTGCTAGACTCCATTGACGAAATCCATAATTTTACCAAGCAAATGATCAGAAAACACACTTTAAACTGACTTTCCATGGTTTTCCTTTAGTTTTGCAGGTATCTGATCATAAACCAAACAAGTCATTTAATTATAATCCATGCAATAGTTGTTGAGATAAATAATACACTGAGCAACCAAATAACAGACTGACATTGCCATCCCCAAGAGCCATGCTGGTAGCACAAAAACAAACAGTATTTGTTTCTGTGTCACATACAGTACAACACTATGGCAATGTCAGTCGGTCAGTCTGTCAGTCCACCACTTTGGTCCAGAATTAACTACCTCAGCAACTACTGGATGGACTTTCAAAGAAGTTTCTGATGTCATGTTTCTATTTTGTCTACTTCCCACTGTACACGTCGTACCCAATAATAATACTTAAGCTGTTATCTTGCACCAATGCACTCAGGTACACACACCCTCACAGACACACAGAGAGTCTTTGCTAAACAGTGACACACAACTTCACAAAGTTCATTCTTGACTACCAGCCCCTCTCTTTTTGGATGGCAACGTGGAAGGGTTTGTTACAGAGTGTGTCCTGTAACTTTAAAATGATAGATTCAGTTTGTAATAGTCAGTATATCCTATCCGGCTCATGTGCAAATGTCAAGGACCAAGACACCAAAGCCCAACCTGCTCAGGGGCTCTTGGCACTGCACCACAGAACATACTTGTATTTATTTTTCTTATTATTAGTAGTAGTAGCAGTACTTAAAGCAGTATGTTTAGCAGTAGTTCATTGGTAGTTTTCTTGACATAGGATGCAAATATAAAATAAGAGAAGTTAAAAGGTAAGATGTTTGACTTCATAAAACACAGTTGCAACCATTGCTTGACTGATGGAATTTCTCAGTGAACTACCAAGTTGAATTTTCTGAATATTTTAAGGATAAGTTTGATAAAATTCTATGTTTTTGTTGTTGTCGACAAAACCAATGAAAACACTAAAACCAACAATGGATTGATCCTACAGGCCAGTATTGTCTGTGTAGCCAAACCCTGATATAGCTTACTGTGTCATTATTGTCCAAGAAAAGTATATATATAAAAAAGTACCATTATACTATTCATTCATTACGATTAACATGGGCATCATAGTTTTTTGACAATCCCACGTACATTAATGGGATTTGGTGACAATTACAGTGGCCTTGTTCTTTAAACTTGAAGGTCTTCCAACTTTTACTTCATATTTACTATAACTGGTTGGTGTGCTATGTATGCAGTGAGGGTTTTTCAGTAAACAAGACATTTTAATCTGATCTACAAGCACTTCAGTCATGACAGCCCCCTGCAGCCCCTGGAGAGCTCTCGCTTCCCTCCTCCACTCTTTTATGTCACTGTACGCCACAGAGCTCTGAGCCAAACATGGCTAATACTTCCAACTCTGTCTTCCAAATGAGCACAAACAAGTGAGTAAGATGAGGAGCAAAATAAGAAAGACAATGGGGTGGGCTTGCAGAGGGAATGAGCAAAGAGCTGAGGGATAAATGGAAGGAGGGTGGGTGACAGAGAGGGAGGAGGAGGTGTGTAGGGAAGAAATAGTGAAGAGGGATAGTTTAATATTCATTATCGGGCCGCTGGGGACAAATCCACAGCCTTGTTGCTATTGTATGTGGGCTTGCTGCTGACACTCACCGACAGAAACACTTGTACATCCACAGACACACTCTGACTAAGACACACACCTAGAGGCTAAAAATCAGCTGCTGCACACAGGACTGAACAATGCTGATGATGTTTACTGTGGTACATGTTGTATGAGACCAAGCAATACCACCCCTTATCCATTCTAGCTACACCTCATCAGACAGCATGAGCCTAAACAGTGGCTTCCTCAGCCCAAAATAGTATTACCTCTATATCGGATTATACTGCATTTTACAATTTAGGTCCATTGCCAATGTGCCAACACAGGGTAGTGTACCCTTTATGTAGGCGTGTAGCATATAATGTTATGTTATGTTTCCCGAACCTAAGAGTATGCCACTGATTTAACTTTGCAATCCTATAACACTGTCAAACTCACAGTGGACAATAAAGAAAATAATTAAATAAATCAGCAATGCAGCAGAACCAGAAATATTTCATTTGGTACTAATTTTAGGGAAAATGGAAATTGTATGCTTACCTGCTAACAAACTTCACTTTAAATGTTCATGTGACCTGCAGTACACTGACCAAGTGTACCAATTTAACACTTTCTTGATTTTCCCTTTAATCAGTACCAAATCACAGTTTATGCCAGGAAACATCTTGGAAATTGTTAAAATAACAAAGCTGTCTTTTTCTGAGTGCCCAACAAGTTTGGTCCATGACTTTCTACAGAGATTGTGTGTAGTCATGAGATGCTAACATGGATTTTTTTGTTGTCATAATTTTATTTAGATCATTTGAATCCTTTTTCCAGCATAACACAGTAGATGAGTTAAGTAACATTCAAAAGTCCAGAAAAGACTGATAGTATCAGCTACTGAGCTTTTTTGTTAATTAGTCATTGCTGCTGGGACATTGTGTGGTGGTCAGAAGTCAGAATATGCACTACAGTATGAACAAAGTGAATGTGTATAACGCCTAAGAACAAAATGACAAGGTGACATTTGACAAATACATCCCCTGTGGGTGTCTTTGTGTCATCCTTAAAGGGTCCTCTCGGATGATTAGGAGATGAGACATCGAGAGGTCACTGTCTGTGCCTTTCTTCCTTTTCCCATCTCTTCAGGCTTCATGTCCACATGTATGCACTCTATTCAGTTCATGAATAGAGGCATACACGCACAATGACACACACGTTGCTCCCTATGCAGTCCAGCGCCAGCCCAAAGTCACCCTGCTTCAGCTTGGCCGCAGGACAGTGAGTGAGTCAGCTTGCTCAGCCAGCCACACAGCCCTGTCTGCTGTGTCTATCAGGCTGCCTGTTTATATGGCAACCTTCAGTATTTGATTGTGGCTCTATCTTGTCTGTTTTGACCTGCCTGCTTTGTCTCCATCTCTCTTTCCCTATCACTTCCTCCTGGTTAAGGTCTAAGAATGCTTCAAAGGATTGTCGAACAGTGTCTGAAACTCCCTACCTACACCAATTTCTGATGTTGCAATTGTCTGTGTCCGTTAATTTTTGCAACTTTCCAAATACGCCTCAGTGTACTGACGCAGTGAAAGACCTGGTGTTTGACGGAAGGGGTTTTTCCCTGAGCGTGGCTATTCAGAACATTAACATTGCCTTTGGGCGACACTTTGTACAACCTAGTTCGTTTGAAGCATACTGAACCCTTTCCAACTGATGTTGCTTGATGAGACATTTAGGAGAACAGGGTGTTCCTTTGTAGGCGTGACCCCACCTTCTTGAAGAGGGCTTTTAATTTACATACTTTGCAGTGCTTAATCTTCTTAATTTTTTCTTTCCTGACATTTTCCTCTCCACTATCCTTCTCCTGCCCCTCTAGGCCCAGCCAAGGGCTCCACACCCCTCCATGGAGCTCAGGGTCAGCCATAGGATCATCTGGTAGATTTCTGGCCATCACAGCTGTCTGGTTGTACTCTGCCAGCCTGGTAAGCAGATGTTTCACTATCTCTGGACGTGCTTCCGCTAGGTCTGATCTCTCGTAGGGGTCAGAGGTGACATTAAACAGCCAAACTGATTTCCCCAGCTTATTACGCCACTTCTCAAGTTTCTGCCATCGTTCTGGACCAACAGGAAGAGCTTGTGGTGGTATCCAGTCCCCATCACCCACATTTCCTGTCAGTAGCTTCCAGTCCCCAGCCCTTATCGCTGCCCTTATGGCTGTGTCCCAGATCCCAAAGCCATTGAGTACTAATGCCTTGTCATATGGCTCCCCGGGCTTCCTCGAGACTGGGTCAATGTTGAAAAGGATTTCAGTGCGAGGACAGCGCAGGCCCTCGCTGATGGTCCCCCACACATCATGACCATCTAGGCCACGATGAGACGACAGGGCCCCGGCCAGCCCAAGTAGTGTGGGATACCAGTCAGAAACATGGATCAGTGCTCTGCTGACTACACCCTTCCTCTTCAGGAGGGGACTATGGACAAAGCCCACAGCCCGGATGCCCCCTTCCCAGTAGGTCCCTTTGCCACCTCTCAGGGGCCAATTACTCCCCCCAGACAATGGCTGACCACCATTATCAGATGAGTAGATCAGTACTGAGTTTTGATAGAGCCCACTAGTCTTCAGTTCCTGGACCACTTTTCCAACCCCTTCATCCAGGCAGCTCAACATGGCTGCATAGTGGCGCCTGAGACGATTGCTCTGGGAATCGTAGTGGTGCAGAAAATGGTCCGGTACCTGCAAGGGTGTATGGGGAGCCTGAAGGGACAGATAGAGGAAGAGTGGTTTATCGGGGTCGTGGCTGCTGAGGATCTGCTTCACTCTGGTTGGAAAGGGGGAACATTGAAAGGTTTTTAAAGATTTTTTAAAAGTTTGTCTATCGATCAATCAAAATCTTTAATTTGGTTTATACCTTGATGCTCACCTCTCTATGTAGAGCAGAGTGGAGTAGTTGCCGGTCATCTCCCAGGCAGGTCTGTCTCCGTCATGTAGGTCAAATCCACAAGCTTCAGCCCCGTCACAGCTCTGATAAGAGAAGTGATCTCCACTGCCAGTCAGCGTGCCCAGGAAACTCTGGAAACCACGTCCTGTGGGTAAGCAACTCCGCCGGCAGAAGCCCAGGTGCCATTTCCCCACCATGTGTGTGGCATATCCAGCTTCAACTAGGCGCTCTGGTAGGGTTGGAATGTCCGAGGGCAGGCAGAGGGGTTGACGTGATCGGATGATTGAATGCTGGAGTCCAGTGTGAATTTGGTAGCTGTCAAGATAGTGTCTTGATAAGATGTATATCATAACACAATAATGGGAAATTTCAGAGTTTTAAGAAACATTTCACCCTTGCATACTCTGCATACACTGTAACACATCATCGAACCAAGATGTTTGGTTATTTTCAAGAATTATAATAAACTGCAATTTAACTTTTTTGTTGTAACCACTTTGAGTGAATCTGCAAAACTTCTGCCGAAATAATCTGCACTGTGTTGGGTCACTGTCTACATTTGGCCAATTATCCATAGGGATAATAAAACTTCAGCATCAAACAACAAAACAGACTCATAAATACAAGGTACTTTGCCAATAAATTGTAACTTATCAGTTTTGATATTGCTTTGATGTGAGGCATCTGTATGCTTCTCTAACATCACACACATAAAATAGTCTGTGAAACATTCCTGCTTTTCATAAATCAAACTGTACTTCTAAGCCTCAAAACACAAATTTATTCCAGTAAATCATAATTATTCTAGCCACAAAAGATATATACTTTTATATTGATCAGGTAAGTAATAATCTAGTGCTTGATATTTGCAAAATGGTACTTTTATTTGTCTTTTAATACCCTTACTTGTACTGGAAGCCCAAGACTGAATACACCACTGAAGATGTTCACAAAAGACAAAAAGCCTATAAAGCCTAAGAATTATTATATCATATGAGAAAAGATCCAGTAACTGAATCATTTCCCCATTGTAATAATGATGTACAGACAAGGAATTACTCACCGCCCTGTCATGAGTTGACTGCGAGAGGGTGAGCAGATAGGCTGGACGTAATAATTTTCAAGTTTGACCCCCTCTGCTGCCAGCTGGTCCAACACAGGAGTGTGGATGTCCGAGCCATGGTAGCCAATGTCTCCGTAACCTTGGTCATCCACCATGATAAAGACAAGGTGTGGGGGCCTGGACCCTTCCACCTCCTCTGTGCGGACACTGTCATCAACAGACTCGTGTTCACAGCAGGCAAGGCCACTGAGAAAGGTCACCCCAATCACCAGGAAAAGCACAGGGCGGATTTCCCCCCTCATCTCTAGCAATGCTCTGTAGCTGTTTACTAAAGTCTGATTTTGTCTATTTTCTGTTCTGCTTACTCTGCAGTCAACAAATCTCAAGCCGGATCGCTTCTGCAAAAAAATGGGGAGATCTGTCTGTCCGAGGAGCCCGTCCAAAAGTCTTATCTGTCCATTAAGTAACAGTTGTCGTCTTTCTCTGGGGCTTATTCTTGGTTTTGTGGGATGGGGCTGAGCTGGTGCCAGCTGCTATGGTGGGTGGAGAAAAACTGCTCTCTCTAAGATGGGCAAGAAGGTGGTAAAGAAGTGTGTGCGTGCGAGAGAGGCGTTCGTCTTTGCAGTACCTTGCTACATTCCTCTGTACTTTCAGGCGCCTCATGCAATGGCTGAGAAGACCTGGGCTACTGAAATACACTTACACACAAACTCAAACACACACACACCAAACAGACATACATATACTATACAGACAGATATTGTATTCGTGGCAAAAAACACCTAAGTACGAGATCAGCTCAACTTTTGGTCATAAAGGTACAAATAAGCTCTGCATTTATTGCCAACATCACAGAAAGAAGCGTTGGGTAAAAACAAAAAGTTTAAATGTAAATTATGGCAAACCAAAAAAGTGTTTTTTGGAATGTCGTTCATAAAAGACATTTTAACATGTCAAAGTGTGACAGGTGTAAGTAACATTAAATGTTGCATTGCCCTGCAATAATTACTCAATCATCGTTAATGCACCTGTGCTTTTCCTGCTATTAAGACAAAATGTCACACTTGGAAATTAAGAAACAAGCATGTTTTGATTCCAACAGGTTAGCAAGATTAATTCAGAAAGTAAAAAAAAAACATGTAACGTACAAAATGGACAGAGTTCTGACAGGGAAGAAGAGAAATCAAGCAAACAAATCAAAACAAAGACAACTACCAATGCTCTCAATTCCCCTGTGTCATGATTGATAAAAGTCGTGAACCCAAATACAAGACACTGATTCAGAGTTTTGGTGAAGTTAAGTAGGTTTTAATTCAACAATGGTGATGATGATGATGATGAAGATGGTGATAATAATGATGAGAGGGTTGAGGAGATGGCTTACTGAAGATGGCTGATGGCTGGTAGGTGGCTGGCATACAGGGGTGAGGTATAGAATAAGAGTTGCAGTTAACTAAGAGTGTGACATAAACTAAGAAATTACTTTGACTACTCAAACCACTAAGGCACAAGAAAAGGCTATCATACTCCCACTGTTGAGAGACTGACAATCTGGCAGTGATTAGTAGTCGGAAAACCGGAGTAGATATACTGTTGGGTTGATGAGTTGATTGTAGATAGGTGAGTGACAGACAGTAGCATAGGAGACACAGGGGAGGGGGAAACACAAGTGAAAAGGCAAGGGTACAGCCATGGCCATGACACCACGTGCGTAAAAACCTTGGTCAAAGTTTAAACTTTTCACTTGCAAACCAGAAACTAAGCAAGCATTTTTCTTGTACAAAGTAGGTAATGAGAGGAAGTGTTTGTGTTCCACTACTCTCGATAATCCACAGACCTCACTGTAACTGTTTTCATAGGGACTATATTAATAGGGACTATATAAAAATAATATTCCACTGACTTCCATTGCCTTGGGGCTGCAGATAAAACATTTCAAAACATGGACAAATAACATAGCTAGAAACCACTAGAGATAAAGGAAGAGTAAAAATATGCTTTCTTGTCACTTTTTGAAACTGACTATTTACTGTTGATTCATAATAAAGCAATATGTCTTACTATTACTGGTACCACCATTGTTAACACAATTACTGTCACTAATACTGTCATTACTGCTATTCTTTCTGACAGACAGAATAGAATAGCAGTGCTATTAAATTGCAGCTAATATTTCCACTGCGATTTCCCGTACTGCTTATTTCAAAACATACTATAAATCCCTGATTAAAGTCAACTCCTGCCATCTTTCTTTTATTGCTTGACACTGCTCAATTAATAAAGCCACCTGATGACAATTACTGTCGGTGCCGGAGCAGTGAAACCAATCTGACTAGGGAGGAACATCCGGCGTTGTGATGAGAATGTGTATCGACCGCTGGGCTCTTAGCCTTAACCTCACTGCCATCTCCTTCCCATAATACTGGGAGGAAATCGATGCCTAAAATACGAGTCCATTTCCTACATTGTAGAAGCAAACTCATGTTGCCTTTCCCGGTGGGAAATTTCACAGGCTTTTTGTCCACAGTGAGATTCAGGCATGTGCTGGAAAGGTTGAGATCTATGGCAGGAGAGGGAAAGATGACAATGAGGTAAGAATGAGACTGACAAAGCAGGTGGGGGGCGATACATTGAAGTGGATGAGATAGAAGAAGTGGAGGGAAAATATATAACTTTAAAAGATAAATTGAGCAATAAGTAAAAAGGACAACAAGAAAAAATGGATAGGAGTGAGACAGAATAATGTGTGAGTGAGAAAAAGAAAGCTTCACTGTCTAAGAGTACAGCATAAACAAAGTGGCATAAAAGGAGCAGTCACTCTTGCTGTGTATGTACGTCTGGGTGTAGCCATCAGTTTGCCTCAGGGAAATGCGGGGCGACATGAACTCCGTTTTACCGCTAAGAGGGGGGAGGAGAGGGAGGAGGGCTGTAAAAATGGAAAGTGACAAATGTCTTCTTGAGGAGTAGAGAGGGCAAGAGATTGTTTTCTTTCCTCAACGGCAATTTAGAGGAGTAACAAAGAGATATTAGCAAAAACTTGTTATAGCTTTCTTTATATATACTGTGTTGCCTGCAGAGATGCACTGTAAAGGGCCACCATGATGAACACTTAACTTTTTATGTTTTCAAAGAAAGATTTATGTGATGTCTAAAATAAAATAAATATTTCAAAAGTAATGTAAAAGGGCTCCATTTTTAAATAGAACTTTCTTTTTTGCTCCGGTTTCAGGGCTGTACTTTACACTGCATTTTCAAGAAATGCCAATCCATGGAAAATACACTGCAGTAAAGAGGAAATTGGTCAGAGTGTCTGTGTAGAACGAAGGATGCAATGTATAGCCCTGTGTGTATTTGTACAGTGTGGTTGCATGTGAACGTGTGTCTGCGGGTGTGTTGGTGTGTTTTGGAAAAGGCAGTGGTGCAGAGTAAAAGAGAGTAGCAGTGGGTGTGATTTATTCATGACGACGAACAAGTGACTCACTCGATCTGGAGCCACTCTGTTAAGTTAGAGTTAAAGTGTGTGTGTGTGTGTGTGTGCGCGCGTGTCAAACTGCGTCTGAGTTCAAGCCGATCATACAACGTAAAAATAAAAAGCCCTATTTCTATATTAAAAAGTCCCCGTCTAAGATTTGTTTTGGTATTTCAAATAGTCCGCCATAAGCACAGATGTAATCATGGATGCGGGTCAGTGCTAGCTAATGGAAAATGATCTCATTGATACTTAAGGATACCTGCCAGGGCTGGCTTCAAATCAATATAAAAGATGCATTAAAAACTGAACCTGTCAACTTTGCATGTTGACTGGTCTAAATGACAGCAACAGTTAAACTAACTAAGTCAGTTTTTACCAGCACTATCACAGTATTACCAGGGCATTGTACTTCAGACCAACACTGTACTGTCAAAGTACCATCCCATAGTAGTTTAATATAATAGTAGAAAAAGACCATGACTTTATAGCGTTATGTACATACTACTCTGTAGCTACTATGTTGTATGAACTGTACAAACAGTAGAAATATATCCAGCAAATAAGAAAAGAGTAGAGCCATGTCTATTTTGATATTTCTGGAAACCATAGTCTTTATGTTGAATTTAAACATTAATTTAGCATTTTAGCATCGGTAGTGTTCACAAAACAGTGAAAAAATCTCTCAAAGACGGACATCGACAGTGGTAATGTGGTGTTCTGAAGTCGATTGGCTAATATTTAACCTTTGCTGCAGCGTACAGGAATGTGGCTTGTCCAGATAGCATCAGCATCAGGTTTTACTTGCTGACACTGCACTTTTACAACAGCTGAAATGATGCCAATAATTACGTAAAATACAAAGTATTTTTTAATAATAGTTTATAGCTAGCAGTTAGCTAAAAGCTAATGTTAGCTGCTAGCTGTAGTTTCAGTTAACAATAGAGATTTGTTATCTCGCTAACATAGAGCTAGCATTTTTACTTTTTGACAATATCTCCCTATAATGGTAGTTAGTGGAGAGTTTAGATAAAAAGCCAGGTAGTTTCTCACAGGTGTTAGAGGAGACGAAACTAGAACTATAAGGAGAACTAGAAAATTCCTAAAGAAATTTTGAGTGTGCCTGTCTCTGGCCCATATATCAATACCTTGTTACACTCTGTAGCATGCTAGCTAGCTAGCGCTAGCATATTAATACCTTGTCAACTTCTCTAGCTAGCGCTAGCATATTATTACCAGAGCCCGTCTACAGACAGCCTGGCCACTCCCTATTAAGTCCCATTGTACCGAATTTTGGTTGCAGTTCCACCAGGGTTCCACTGGGGGCGATCGCCCATGAGTGCAAAATGAATATGAGTCTATTGAGCAAGAAATCTCAGATTTGATTGTAGTTTTTGCAAGTTCAACATGGGTTATTGGTCGAAAGTTGAATGAACGAGTACTTATGACCTTTCGATTTCTTACAGGTTGAGTTGTTGTTGCCCATAACACGCTAGCATTCTGCTAATGAACGCTGATTGGTCGGTGAAGGACTGATTATGACCAGAGATCCCGCTTGATGGCATCGTGGCATCCGAAGCGGGACATAGATATTTCGGAGTGGTGTTTAAAACAGCAAAACAAAAACTCTTTCTAGCACGTGTATTGACAGGGAGAGCCTAACCTGTGTCAGCTGTGTTGTCGATGCCTCGAGAGAAAAGGAAGTGCCGAGTGCGAAAGCACAAAGTGACTCAAGGCTTGCCATAAAGCGGTATCTCTGGCCGTACGATGTGTATGACGTCATTGACATTTTAAAAGACTTTTTTAAGCAAATAAGTGACTCTAAAAAATCTAACACCCAGCAATGTGTAATTT